TCCACCGCAGGATATTCGCAGACCCCTTTTTGTGTAAGAGTATAAAACAATTAATTATTATTAAACAATTATTAAAAATTTGTGATAGAAATGGTCTGATAAATGCGATTGTTTATGCGACCGTCTCACCACAGATATGCGTTTATTCGCGGGTCTTTTTTTTTTGCATATTATTATAATTTTGTTGTTTGTTGTATGTATGTGGCATTTCTCATACCTGAAAGACAGAAAGTTAAACTAAATTAAACGATGAAAGATGAAAGAAAAAAAAAATATAAACTTTCGAGTAGAACTGCGAAGGTGGTATGCGAGCAATATGCGGCAATTCACATACACCATCTCATAACAGAAATAACTGAAAGATGAAAGAAATAAAAATAAACTTTCGAATAGAAGTGCGAAGGTAGTATGCGAGCAATATGCGCAATTCGCATACCCTATCGCATAACTGAAATAACTGAAAGATGAGAAAAAAAAAATTAATTTTTCGAATAGAAGTGCAGTGCGTAGGTGGTATGCGAGCAATATGCGGAAATCCGCATACCCCATCACATAACTGAAAGATGAAAGAAATAAAAAATACACTTTCGAGTAGAAGTGCGAAGGGGGTATGCGAGCAATATGCGGTAATTCGCATACCGCCTGGCATAACTGAAAGATGAAAGAAGTACGAAAAAAAAAATTATTATGCACTAATTCTTCGAATAATATGCGATGTTGGTATGTCGCAGTTGTGTCGCAGAATAATTTTTTCGACTAATAGTCGCAGTTCATTCCCCTAACAAAAATAATTATTTAATGGGCGACGGACCGCGATTGACCGAATCGTACATCGAATCTCCGAATATTCATCGTAGAACAGTCGCATACTTTAACTCATAACTTTCTCGCCCATGCTCATACCTGTCGCCTATTTAGCGCATAGTTCATCGCTTATGTCTTCGTACATTTTGGGGTGAAAAACTTAGCTTTTTATTGGGTGGTGTGAAAAACTTAGTATGACTTCAGAACGGGGTGAAAATAACTATTTCCTCTTAATATGTGTCCACCGTGGGTAGGGGAACATTATCCTTAAATATTATTACCAAAATAAGCTTAGCGTAGTTTTGTACTTATTTTCTACTAAAAATATAATATGTACTACTGTGTGGTATAGTACGTCAAACTTAATGGATAATGCTAGGAAAAAAGCACAACAATTAAACTTAAATGCATAACAATAACATCAAAATAAGAAAGTGATGGAAAATATGGTGACTACACTAACAAATTTGCTTATGGTATTCTCAGGGATCACAGTTTGATGATGCAAGATACTGGTGAGAGTAGTAGTTCCAAGAAAGTGATGGAAAGGTTCACTTGGAAACACCCTATCAAGAAACAACTAAGGGACAAAGGCTTACAAGTGGAGGAAACATGTGGTATGTGTGGTGAGAAGGAAGAAGAAAGAGATCACATCTTCTTCCATTGTGCTAGAGCACTGAGATGCTGGGAACTGGCTGGCTTGCATTGGACTGGGAAAGACGAAGAAACTTCGGAGAGTGATGGCAGAAGATTTGCACCTCACGGAAAGTTTCAAACATCACTGGCAGAATTAGCCTCTCCACGTACCTAATATAGTGGATGTGGAAGTCTAGTGAAAGTTCAACAAAAGCTGGTGGGATGAAATGCAAGTTGTTGATGGAGCTATCAACTAATGGTCGGAATATCTGGTTGTCAATGAAACTCATCATTCCAACTCTAGCCAAAGGGAGGAGACTCATCCCGATTATGCAATATATTTCTCCAAGGGGGCAGGGTAGAGATTTATTTCTGTCAGTGCTCCATTCATTCTGAGAGGTAAGATGATGGTTAGAGGAGCAGCTTGGTGTAATCAAGATTTGAAATAGGAATGGTCATCTTCTATGGATCCATTGAACAACTCCGAAGAACATCATTGAACAACTCTGGGATGGACTCACTTTAACTGCTCCCTTTTAGACAAAAGCTCGCTGATAGACTCAATAGAAGGGACAAATATACGGCTTCTATATCCATTGAGACTGAGGATGTTTATTTCCATGTTCTCCCATTGTTGTTCATGCATGTTCTTATAATGTCTTTAGCCTTGTTGGTTTACGGTGGTTTTTGTTGTTGGATTTTGCTTGTGGCCTTGTTTTGCTTGGAAGAGATAAGATGTCCATATTCCCCTTGGTACTCTCTTTTTTCCTGTTCTTTGGAGCATTTGACCTTGTAACCTGTTGATTACCCGAATGTAGTCTTCTCGTGATTTTTAATATGTTATCTTGGTCATCGCTTGGGGGGGAAAAGAAATCGTAACAAAATCATTTTTGAGAACTGAAAAAAAAAAGGAAAAATATATGTCATTTCCACATCTCCTACTGAAAAACAACAAAACATAACCAAAACTATGTCCTAAAAATAAAAATGTCTTTTTTAAATATGTGTGGGTGTGTGGATGTGTGTGTGCACGCGCGCACGTGTGAGTGAGACAAGCAATAAAAAATTATTTATTTAATTTTTACTTATAAAAAAAGTATCTATTTTGACATATTATATGTGTGAATTACAGGGGCGAAGCCAGCCTCAAATTTCACCGGGGTCGGCAATATTTTTTAGCGGGGTCATTAACCTAGTAAACAGTGTTTGAACAGTATTTTATACTAAAAATTTTGGAATCCATAGGGGTCAGCTGACCCCAGCCACAAGGTGTGGCTCCGCCACTGGTGAATTATCTATATATTACTAATGTTTTATCATATTAGATGTATTTTTAGTTCGCGATGCTTTAGTATAATGTTTATCACCGTAACGTTTCTGCTAATCCTAGTAAGTACTTGCATATATGGCCATGTCATGATATGTTATTATATTAGTTGTGTATTCACAACCGGTTCCAGCGGAGCACGTGGTTTCTTTATGTTCACGCCCCCCACTAACCATTTTTCAGGTAACGGAGTCTCGCGTGGAGCGTGAGCCGAGGAGTGGTGGTGGTCATAGCGAGGATATTTTGATGTGAACATGTCATATACTTAGTTGAACATGTTTGAATTATCTGCCTTTTTTCGTTGCATATTTATGTTTGAACTTATATTTGCTTCCACATTCAGAACAATATTCAATATTCAGAATCTCAGTCTATGCATGCTTAAACCCTGAGATGTTCATGGCATCTTATTAGAGTAATGAATTATACTCGGTTGCATGCGTAGTAATTAAAAGATATTAAAGATTAAAGAGATAAATTAAAGTTGAGTAGCATCTCGCAATTAGATTTAAGTATTTTCGAAAAAGTTAAATTGAGTTTTCAAAAATTAAATCAGTGTTTTTCTATTTATAGCGCGAAAAATTTACCCGGATTTTAGTAAGTTTATGTGGAGTGTTACAAAAACTATGTCTTAAATATAAAAACTTTTTTAAATATGTGTGTGTGTGTGAGACAAGCAATAAAAAATTATTTGTTTAATTTTTACTTATAAAAAACAGTATCTATTTTGACATATTATATGTGTGTGAATTATCTATATATTACTAATTTCATTAAATGTAATCTTAATCGAATATAAAATAGTAGCATGGTCTAATATTGTAAAGTTGTTAAATATGTTATTAATATCAAATAATAAGATTTAATGTGAAAATGAGATACAAGAACATTTTTTAATTTTGAGAATGAGTAAAATTTTATTGGACGCTATTTTATGTTTGAGAATGAGCTTTTTAATTGGAAATTAATACAACTGTATGAAAATTCGGCTTAAAGCTCAGTCATTAACCACGGGCCTTAAATCGGCCAGTAATTTTATTCAGAGCGATTTAGGTTAAACCATTTTAAAAAATGAACCTTCGGTTACGAAGTTCCGAACTGAAATCAAAACCGATAGTTCGACACCGAATTTTAATTTAAAATTGATTTTTTTTTATTTTTTATCTATTTTTTTTTCGACAGGCCGATTCTTAAACCGTGAATCGTCGATTCATTGAACCGACCCATGCATATTATCGGGCCAGTTCAGGTTCACAAATAACGTGAACCGAAAACAACAGTTCCGACCCAAAATCGGCCTGGAACCTGGACGTGGCCAGGGTTGGCCTGGGCCCGACCCACAACCAGCACATATGTATGGGTCATTGAACCGAACCGGCGGTAATACCGGGCCAGTTCCAGGTCTTTTTTTTTTTAACAGGCCTAAAAGACAGGTTGGCATCGTTTTTTATTTTTATTTTATTAAAAAAACCGGCGGTTCAATGAACCATCAGTTCGGTTCAGTGAACCAGACCTTACACAGTTCCAGGCCCAAGTTTTGAGGCCCGGCGACCCACTGGACCAGAGTTGGCCATATCTATCGGAACCAGAAAATGACCATGTCTAATTCAGCTAGAAAGAGATATGAACCAGTCCTCAACTCATCACATATACAGAAATCATGACTATCTTCAATAATTGTGCAATTTGATATGACAAAGGACGCAAGAGAATAAAAGGACAATTTTAATCTTTGAACATTTCAATCGATGAATATGGGAAGAATAAAATAATTTCCCACTCGATTGATACTTGATTTAAGAGAGTTCGCCTGTTCATTACGCGTACAGACGAGTATTATTTGGAGAACACAAGAGAACACTAGTAGTACCATAAGAAAAATGCCCCGGAGGTTGTTCCGCCGTACAAGGGAAGGCCAACAGCGATTTTATTATCATGAGAAAGAGAACAATCAATCTCAGGCTAACCAGTCGCCGTCCATACCATCGATTTCTTCTATGTCCATGCTGCAAAAAGAAATCAAAACATATTACAAGAAAAAAAAAAATCTTAGTTATTGAAAATTTGAAATGTTATAGATAACATGATGTGAGATACTCACCTAAGCAGTAGCTATCTATATATATCTATATAAAGAGAGAACCTATTTACTAAAAATAGTAACAAAAAAAAATCCGCCAAAATTAATTGCATGTCACTTTGAAAAATTATTTGAATTTTATTTACTATAAAATCATGCAGCATTAAATGCTCCCTTAAATGGTGGGTTTATTCGATTAAGGTTTATTCATTACATCTTATCTTACCTTCCATATAATCATATTCCTAATACTCATTAAATTTGCTTATATAATTTTAAATTAATTACATAATAATATTAATATAAATATATATCATTAGATAAAAAATAAAATTACTTCTATAAGTGTTATAAATAATAATGACATTATACGACAATAATTTTGAATAAAATAATATTTGAGTATTATGATGAATCAAAGTATGTAAAATTATTTTTTTTCTATCTTAAAAAATAAATATATATGTTAAAATATTATTTATATTAATATAAACGGTCAGCGGGCTAATATATTGTTAAAATAAAATTTTGAAAAAATGTTCTAAAATACGAAACCTCGTGCATCGCACGGGATTCTCACTAGTTTGTTAATAATTAGCTTCCATAGCTTACGTGGGGAAGAATTAGTGAATTACATCACCAAGAACTCCCAAAGTCTTAGAGATTATAATGGATAAAGAGAAAAGGCAAGTAAACAATTCAATGGCCGGTGTAATTGAGACTATGAGAGTAAGAAACTCTGAGAAAAGCTTCAAGACTGCTACTCTTGCAGCAAGTGTGTTTCAAACTTTAATTAAGTTTTTCGGCCAATTAGAGTCTTGACTATTTACAGGTTGGGAATCACGCCTTACTCCCACGCCCTTTTGGGGTGTTTCTCCTTAAATAAATAAAAAAAAAAAAAAAAAAAAAAAAAAAAAAAAAAAAAAAAAAACTCTAATTAAGTACTAATTACTTCTTTTAGAACAAAAGAGAAGTTCGAAATTCTGGGGAAGAAAGTCTGAGTCCAAATCTTGTCTCATATTTTTCCTCTTTGTAAGGGAACATTAAAAAATAAGCCTAAAACGACATCATGGGACTTGAGAAATCTTTTGCGATTTGGAACTTGTATGCATATCTCATTGCATTGGATGAATGACACGTGTCCATGATGATGTGATGTGACCATCATCGAACAAAATGTTTGAAACATGAATCAAATCATGATTTTGAAACATAAAATCTTTTCCTATGCATGTTACTATAAACAGCCCAAAATTGGATAATTAGCGTATTTTTCCCTTAAAAAAATAAACCAAAATATTGCATCTAAGGGCCACGAAAAGGTCAATCACTTTCAGAACATGAAAGCATCTCCTAACCAAAAGACAAGATATAAGTGTATCAAATTCTCTAACTAATTCTTACCACGGCAAATTAGAATCTTCAAAGTAGTTCCATGAGCACGTCTCATCAACATGCGGCTCAGTCGTGTTCAGCCAAGCAGGGAACTCCACGGCTTTGTTAAACACACAGTTCACAAAATCCTCCCCTTTCTTGTCCTCGGATGACACATCCATTGACTTCAAGAACTCGAACCACCAAGCTGAGTTCACCAGGCTCAAGGTGTCATTCCACTCCATCTGGTACTGCTCCCCTATCGATCTCATCTCAGCCAACAACTTATCGTCCATCGTATGATGCAGCCCAGAATCACCGAGTTCCGCCACATCAGCAACAACCACGGATGGAATTTTCTCAATGGCAACAGAGCAAGAAGAGGAAGAGGTTGATGCAGAAGATAACGAGTAAATTGATGAAGGATTTTCGGTGCAAAGATAATTGAAATCTTGAAGATTGAGGTTGAGGCCGAGGGTCTGACTGGGGAGTGCAAAGTCGAGGTTTTCCAGGACAGGCACAGGACAAGAGTATGGGGAACAGAGGCCTTGAGAGCATGATAAATTTTCTGGATAGTTGTAATTAGGCGGGTGATGATTATTATGAAAGGAGGAATTCGAAGAATGTAATTGTAGTGGATTTCTTCCGAAAATCGAACTGGTCTTTTCCTCTTCTAAAGAGAGATCATGGGATGTGGGCCCAAAAGGCGGATTTTCGGGCCCCTGGCCTGATTGTTGCTGCTGCTGTTTGTCGTTGGCTTGTTTCATGGCAGCCCGGTGAAACTTAAGGGCAGTGACGATTTCCCGGCGGGCCTCGGCCATGTTTAGCATCCTTTCTTGGTAAGGCCGGCTGGTGTGGAGCCTTCGTCTGGCTTTTTTATGTTGCTGCTGAATGACTTGACTGGAATTTCCAGGTTTTTGGTCAGAAAATGCACTTGCTCCATCTATATTTCCATTGCTGTCGAAACTCGAGGAGTCTCTGGTTCTTGCAGAGGATAGCTGTTTGACAAGGTCGCGAATGCAAGCGTCCGACACGTGAGGCTCTCTCTGCATTCCGGGCCCTAGCCCAACAATTTTGGACTTTGATGAAGAAGATTTTCCCCTCATTCTTTTTTTTTTCTTTTTCTTTTGGGCCAATATTTTAGTTTTAGCAGCTTAAAATATTTTCAGGTTATAGTTAGAAGAAAAAGATGGGAGTGGAGAGAAAGTGGGTATGGAAAATCATGCTATTGACTTTTTCTTCTTTCTTCCTGGGGCCAAAGTACAGAATGCAGAGATCACAGGTCCGGGTGGAGGGGGTGCTGGATGTTATAAATAGCTGGCAACAGTGGGGTTTTTTTATAAATTCTTTTAGAATTTTGGCAAAACATACTCTCTCTCTCTCTCTCTCTCTCTCTCTCTCTCTCTCTCTCTCTCTCTTCATTTATCTTATTGTGCCAAATGATTTATGGGGGAAATGCTACGGTACCATTACGGAATCATTCCGTCGGGGTTTGTAACATTAGATCAACTATCCCCGACGGTTACATGATTATCTAACGGAACGGGACTGTAGCATCTCCCTGATCTATGGAAGGCCAGCTATTTGTGCTCTTCCTACATCATCTTATCAGTTGACTAATCCGTGCTAGGGGTCGGTCATCACCATAAAATGTCTAGTTCTAATGATTATGCAGTCAATTAATCTTCGAGGTATTAAGATTTTCCAGTCTATGTTTCATCTCATACCTTTAAATCGAACAATTAAAAAAGCATATTGATTATATGCGGAATCTCATTTCATGCGAACTCATATTTTACTAGAATCTGTAAAGGATTAAGCATACAATAGATAGCGACAAGGGTAATTATGAAACAATTATGAGATG